AAAAAATGTTTTACCTTTGTTGGAGGCAGAAGCCTCAGAGAGCAAGGTCCCAGTGCACTGGCTCTCTCTTTAGGATTCCCCCGTGACGGCTAAAATGCACTATCTTGAAATCCAAAAAACATCTAGAAGTAGCAGTGTTGGCCATATAGCAAATCCAACATGCTGGATTCCAAGGAAACATCTTCTTTGAATTACAAATGGACATTAAATTTCCTTGACTTTGAAAACCATGGCCAAAGGGGGAGGTGCCAGTCTGCAGATAGCCCTCCCTACCATCTGAACTAAGACCAGAAACAGAAAATGCAGGCCTATGACTAACATCTTCAACTTTTTTCTCCTGCTTGTCTGGCAAAGAAGCCAGTGTGGCTTCAAAAGCTTGCAACAGGTAACTGTGCATTTTGGTTGGCCCAATACAGGTATTATTTTCTGGATGTTATTGGATTTGCTATATGGCCAACATGGCTACCCCAGATGTTTTTTATGTATGACATACAGAACTTGATCAACAAAAATGTAATAGTATGTCCCAGGCTGAGAGCATGGGAGGTTTGAATGAAAAGACAGCAGAACTTTTACTAGCCCTGTTTTTAAATGCTGTACTTTCACAAGTCTGAGAGACTTCTTTCTGGAGACCAACTTACATGCCACATGCTTCTTAAAAGTCACCACCTCTGTGAAGAACCAAGGTTATTTCAAATTGAAAATGCTTACAGGTTCCTTGTTGTGCCCTCATGTGATTTCTAGAAGAGGGGAAAAATTGGAGGGTTCTTATCTTCTTTCAGCCAGAAAATTATAGGATTTTTTAAAGAGTGCAGGATTTCAGGGCAGACCTCCTTCACAGCACTCTGTTCTCTCTCAGAAAGATAAGTTATCCCAGCAGCAGCCAAGGAACAGAAAGTCTTACACTATGCAAGCTACATTTACATTATGTGCATATTCACTTAAAGCTAATTTCCCTTTTAACTTCCAGGTCTTACTTCATTACTAATTTACAATGCCGACCTTTAAAATAAAAGCAATGGAATTCACTTTATTCCTCAGATCAGAGGACTACACAGACTAGAGATGGTTTAAAAGGATATTTTTGCGGCTTGTAACATGTACAACATGTACAAGCTACTGTACTTGAGATCTGCAGGATGAATCCTCTCATCCCAGTTTGTGCATAAATTGTTCCCATCCTGTCTTTTAAGATGCTTGGTGCCCTTCCCTGACATTGCAATAGCTTAAGATGAGGGTGACACTCTCTCATCCCAGCTGCTCAGTTTACGAAAGAGCAATAAGCTCAGCATTACGGTGTGTCGATTTAAGTAAACCTTGGACAGAATATTCTTCTTACCTCACTTTTCCCTCCACAGTGAAAACTGAAACTGTTTTGGGGTGGACCAATGCCAGAAAGAAAAGAAAATCGCCTTAAAGGATTATAAGGAAGGAGGCTCTGGTTTTATAGCCACCTTCACTGTCCATATCCGTTAGCCTCTTCAGACTTTAAACCCAATAGCTGTTTGTTGAATGGGGGAGGGCTGGGTGAAGACAGCTCACCAGGTGCTCACCTGCCAACTAGTAGAGCACCAAACATTATTCCCTTTCCAACTTCTGGAGCCTCAATGTAGTATTCTCTCTTTCTAATTATTGCAAATGCCACCTAACAAGAAACACAGAACATTATAATCATAACAAAAGACACTCAACAAGAGCACCTACCTCAATAGCCCTGACTCACTGCCAGATTCAATACAGCCCACCTACCTCCATCTCCTCTTAGCTCTTCTTTCAGAATTATTAGATCCTTATCCTCCAGTCAATGCAGGCTTTTTGTTTTATTGAGAGGTCTCAAAGCTTCAACCTATTCTGGAAGCTACAAGCATTTTGATATGGAATTTGAAGCTAAATGCCAAACACTTTGTGCCCCATCAAAAAAGGTACTCTCTGCACATGCTCAATTACATTTGTAACACAATAGGTTCTGCAGAATTTTTTGAACTTTATTATAGTCTAAAAGTCACCCTAGGCTAGGAAATCTTTGATTAAAAACCAGGGACCATTAAAGGTTTCATCTACTCATTCCAGGTTTGAGGCAGCCATCCTTGAACTCTCACACAGTACATGGGGTGATATGGCTTCGATTCCCCTTCTTAAGCTCTATATAAGAGTTTGCAGGTTCATACCTAACCCAATCCCAGTACCAAGATCATTTAAAATATAAGAAGCATATGCCCCCTTCACAGTTCATAACCCTCCTTTGGTGAGGTGAAGCACTTATCCTTCTTAAATAGAGTTACAGAGAATGTTTTAAATTGCAAAAGGGATTAACATCCCAAACAGTTCAAATGGGGTGGGTGGTTGGGATCACATTATTATTATTATTATTTATTATTATTATTATTATTATTATTATTATTATTATTATTATAGTTTATTTATATTTTCCCACCTCTCCCTGCGGACTCATCCCATTTCTTTCCTACTCTGTTACATTCTAGGTTAAAGGGGAGTAGGAGGGTTTGGTGGAAGCAGTACTGCCATTGGTCTTCAAATCCCAAGTCCATTTTCTTTTCATTTTATTTTGTGTATACTCTTTCGACAACCAGGTGTGTATAAAAGGAAGCAGTATCATTCTTATGTTTTGTTCTGGGTACGTTCCACGTAAACACAATCCTACATTTCTTTCTAAGAGGTACCGCACCCTCCATTTGACATTTCTCTATTAGATAAAAAGACCATTCCTTAACAGCACTGCAAACATTTCTCTGCTTTTGCTGCAATCCTGTGAGGGAGGCCAACACTGTTTCTACTACTGATTTGTTTGTGGGACAGAAGATGTGAAAGAGAAAGTGGCTTGGCTGACCTCACCTACCTGGCTCCACCTGAGAAAGAGGCAAACTCTGAATCATGGATTTCAGGGTCCGAACCCCTGCATATACACACACTTACTTATCCAGGAGACACAACTAGAGGCCTTTGCAGACTGCTAGAAATAGTGCAAATTGGGTCCACTTTTAGGGTTAGGGTTAGGGAATCATGGGAACTGTATTTTATTGTGGTACTAGAGCTCTCTGACAGAGAAGGCTCAATGTCTCAGAAAAAAAACAATTCCCATGATTCCCTAGCACTAACCCTAACCCTAAAAGTGGACTCAATTTGCACTATTTCTGGCAGTCTGCAAAGGCCCTAAGATGTCCGCCACGATACTAAAGTAACTCTAATGCCAGGAATAACAAATATTTATCATCATCATAAGCTGATTCCCATAACCTATAAAGAACATTTATCACCTTTTAGGGCTGAGCTCCGGCATTAAACTCCCATCCTAACAAGGTAGTTTTATTATTGTTGTTGTGTGCCTTCAAGACATTTCTGACTTATGGCGATCCTAAGGCAAACCTATTATATAGCTGTAGAGAGATCTTGTAGCACCTTTGAGACTACTGTAAGTCAAAGAAAAAAGTTGGCAGCATGAGCTTTCCTAGACTTAAGTCTACTTCCTCGGATGCATTTGGTGGAGTGGAATTAGTGGAGTGGCATCTGAGGACGCAGACGAAAGCTCACACTGCCAACTTCTTTCTTTCATTTAGTCTCAAAGGCGCTACAAGATCTCTCTACGTACTGATTCTAGACTAACACGGCCATGTCTTTGAATTCTAAGGTTTTCTTGAGAGGTTTGCCATTGTCTTCCTCTGGGGCTGAGAGCATGTGACTTGTCCAAGTGCACCCATTATTATATTATTTAAAACTTTTTGCAAACGTTTTTAATTTGTTGATTTGAATGACTTGGGAGAAAGGCAGCATATAGACTGTTGTTGTTAGTTGGCCCTGTGGATGAGACACCTCCAAGACCCCCCGTCCTCCATTGCTCTGATTAGGTCCTGCAAATTCAGGACCATGACGTCCTTGATTGAGTATCCATCAGGAGTGCAGTCTTCCTCTCTTTCTACCACCTTTCCTAGCATTATTGTCTTTTCTAATGAGTCTTCTCTTCTCATGATGTGTAAGACAGCCTCAGTTTGGTCGTCTTGGCTTCCAGAAAGTTTTCCAGCTTGATCTACTCTAAGACCCATTTGTCTGTCCTTTTGGCTGTCCATGGGATCCGCAGCACTCTTCTCCAGCACCACATTATCTCAAATGAATCGATTTTCTTCCTATAATCTTTCTTAACTGTCTACCTCTCACATTCATACATAGTAATAGGGAATACAATGGCTTGTATGATTCTAACTTTTGTGCTGAGTTATATATATATATAAATAAATTAAATATAAATAAATAAATATGATGATGATGATGACGATGAGAGCCAGAGTGGTGCAATGGTTTGAGCATTGGACTATAATTCTAGAGGCCAGGATTTGAATCCTGGCTCGGTCATATAAACCCACCGAGTGACCTTGGGTGAGTCACACTCTCTCAGCCTCTGAGGATGGCAATGGCAAACCTCCTCCCTCTGAAGCAGGGAGACCAGGCGCCCTAACTGCAAAGGAGGGCAAGGCACCGTGAAATGTAGGTCCTTGAAGAGAAATGCAGGACATGGCCAAATAAGCTAAAAACACTCCTAGAAATGTAAAATACCTGCTTCTTGGTCATGCTCAAAGTGGAGGACGTTTTGGAATTCCTCCCGGACAGAAGGCTTGAAATGGGGGGCAGGTCCTGGAAAAGGAGGGCGACGACCTCTGGTCACCCTGGTAAAACCATGTTTCTTAGTCCTGCTCAAAATGGAGAATGCAATTCAATTCGTTTATTGCAGCAAATAGTCAGCATATAAAGATGGAGGGCAATTTTGGAATTCTTCCTGGACAGAAGGCTGGAATGGAGGACATGTCCTGGAAAAGGAGGACCACCTCTGGCCACCCTGCCTCTGAAGACACCTTGCCAAGAAAAACCCGTGTTAGGGTCGCCATGAAACGACTTGAGGACACACAACAACTACAAATTATTATTATTATTATTCCAAATGGTGGCAAGGGGGCTCGACTCAATAGCAACGCTCCTTTGAGTGGAAGGAGCCCACCATCTGCGGTGCCCCTCCTGAAGCGGGAGACCCAGAGACACGCGTCACCCAGCCATGCGCCCCATTCACACGTGCGCTGCCCCCGAACTCACTGAAGTAGAGCCTGTAGTCGAGGCTGTTGGGACAACCGCGTCCCTCCACGCTGTAGCTGGCCATGGTAGGCGCCTTCCTCCCTTCCTTCCCTCCCAACCGGCGTCTCTGGCAGGGAATGAACCACGCAGCCCTCGCTTATTAGCCGGCGAGGAGCCTCCCTCTTCCCGCCTCCTCACCCTCCCACCTACCGCCGCACTGCGCAAGCGCAGCCTCCCCTCACGCGTTTCATCATCCAGGCGCCATCTTGGGGGCCGCACTGCGCAGACTCCGCATCTCTCTCTCTCTCTCTCTCTCTCTCTCTCATATGCGTCCCTTCTTTTTCAAGGGCTTAGGAAAGGGACCTTTTTGACTACAACTCCCAGACTCCTCTGGGGCGAGCTCTGTCTTATTAATTCTATCTATAGGCTCTTCTTTGTTGCTGTCTTGTGTGCCTTCAAGTCGTTTCTGACTATACAGTACAGCAGGGGTAGGCAACCTTTCCCCTTTAAGGGCCGAGGGACTTCAGCTCCCAGAATCCCAGGAGCTATGGGACTATTGGCCAACATGGCTGAGGCTTCTGGGAGCTGAAGTCCCTCGGCCCTTAAAGGGGAAAGGTTGCCTACCCCTGCAGTACAGTATATGGTGACCCTAATAGGGTTGGGTGACCGGGCCGTCCTACATTTCAGCCCCCTCCCCTTGCCCAGGAGGAATTTCAAAACCTCCTCCTCCTCCCTTTGGCCAGGGTGTAGTCCTTTTTCCCGGACGCGTCCTACATCCCAGTCCTGCCCCAGGAAGAATTCCAAAATGTCCTCTTATTTAGTCAGTGACCAGGGTGCCCTCTTTTCCCCGGACGCGTCCTACATTTCAGCCTTCTGCCCCAGGAGGAATGTCAAAATGTCCTCCATGTTGACTAAGAGGCATAATTATTATATTTATAGAAGAGTTTTTAAGCTCTTGTTTTGTAATGTCCTCCATTTTTTGCAGTGCCTTGTCCTCCTTTGTGGTTAGGACATCTGGCCACCTTCACCTTTGGGCCTAAGGTGAACCTATCATGGGGGCTTTCTTGGCAAGTTTCTTCTGAGGGGGTTGTCCATTGCCTTCCTCTGAGGAGGCTGAGAGAGTGTGACTCGCCCAAGGTCACCTAGTGGATTCACATAGCAGAGCCAGGATTCGAACCCTGGTCCCCCAAGTTATAGTCCAACACTGAAACCACTACAGCTTGTTTCCTCTGTCACCCCTCATTTTGTTACTGATTTCTACTTATGGCGACCCTGTAAATGGTTTCAGAGCCAGCACTGAGTGTTGACCTAGGACTCTGGAGAACAGGGTTTGAATCCCCATTCACCCATGGAAACCCACTGGGTGACCTTGGGTAAGTCACACCCTCTCAGCCTCAGAGGAAGGCAAGCTCCTTCTTTTAACTTTTAAAGCCCTGCATGGTTTGGGCCCCACTTAATTATCTGCTCTTGTTTCTTCCTAGCATCCTGGTTGCGATCTATGGACTCACGGCTCCTGACCCAGCCAAGGATTTCCTCTTCCCGGGTTCGAATTCGCCCTTTCTCCCTCACAGCTCCTCACT